AGATAGTTCAATCACATGAGTAATATTGATTACACCATTGTTATCACCTGAAAGCTTTACAAATCATGCAAAAGATTTGCAGTTCGGGCTGAGTATATAGGAGGTGTTGTTTTTCTCTGTGATAAATGGTTTCATTGTGAAGTTTTAATATAGCAGGTTGCATCCGATAGCGTCTGACCAACGGATGAGAATTATTTGACTTGAACAACTGTTATTGAAAACTTGCATCTTCCTGATGATGACCTTCATGTTCCCCCACTTTCGCTCCCGAAAAGTCAGTAGAAATGTCTATGTAAGAACATGCAGTGTGATGCGGTTGGATGCTTTACTCACTGTGCATTTTATATACCTGCAGCACCTTTTCCTTATTTCGTCATCTGCTGGACGGTTGACGATAGATTGTTAAAAAACTTAGCTTGTTCATCTCGACGCTGGGAGTCTACTGAATCCTTCATTCTGTGAAACTATACCCTGTTGAAGACATTTGTCTGATATTGAGGGGAGAGTGATGCCTCTGTAGTTTTCACATGTGCTGAAATCACCTTTATTTGTTGCCTTGACCAAGTGTCTTTCTTCCAAGTCAGTCTGTACTTGTTCTTTATCTGAAATCTTGACTTAAAGAATGTTAAGTATCAATGTAGTTACTGCTACGTCCGATTTCCTCGCCTATTCTGGAAAATCTCTGGTCCCACTGCTTTACCATTGGTGATTTGTCTGATGGGCATGCTGATCTTTTCAGTAAGTACTGTCACGATGTTGGGTGGATTCAGTGCGGCTAATCGATTCAAGAGTTCCTTACAGTGCTCTACCAACCTGTTTTGCCCTTCTTCAATTCTGGTAATTGATTTGCCTATCTTGTTTTTCACTAGTTGTTCTGATTTAAGTCAGTTTTCAGCGAGCTTCCTTGTTGTAGCCCAAGAGTTGTCTCAAGTTTGATTCTCTTACAGCCTTTTCGAACCTCAATGCTAGATCCTCCACACAATTATGTTTGTGGGCTGTGATGCTTCTCTTCACTCGCTTGTATGCCTCTGTGTATTCGGCTTGTGTCTTAGCTTCCTCTACTCTTGTTCAGCTGATATTGATTGCTGCCTTCTTGTTCCTTCCTTTTCCAATCTTATTCGGTATTTTCACAATGATCTATTCATTGAGATAGTGATTCTTGAGACCAAGAACCTCATGATATGTTTAACTGATTGCCTGCCTCCTTGATCCCTTTCCACTTGATAACCATTGTAGTTTCCTCTTCGCTGAGTAAGTCGTGAGATGTTTGGAACCTACTTTTTGGGGCTATCTTAAATTTGTGAAGTTTTATAGTATCCTCAAGAATGGCCGTATTAGACATTTGTGATGTTCTTCGTCTCATGGTTCAGTGCTTCCTGAGTTTCACTTTCATCCTGGTGACGAACGAGCGATGTTTTAAGACTATATCAGCTCCTCTCTTAGTTTGTACGTCCCCCATGATCCTCCTGAACATTTATTGATGCAGATACAGTAAATTTCGTTCTGTGCGGTGTGATCCGATGAAACCCGTGCACTTTTTTGTGTGTGAATCTGGTGCTACTTGTGAACACTTTAGTGAAGGCACATAGATTTGCAAGTTCCTTTCCCGCAGTCTATATCGTCATATGACGTCTTTGTATCCGGTTTAATCCAATCCAACCTTGACATTTCGGTCTCACATAAAGAATGGTTGGGTTATTTGGGTGGCATTTCCCGACGATTCACTAAAGTCGCTTTTAGGATTGATCTTGGACGTCTTGTTTGTAATCATTGTTAGGTGAATAAGCATTAGATGACTTTCATTCTAATGCCCTCTTTCTCCATTTTGAAAAATGCTTTCATAATCCTGGATTCATGAGTTTCTGATCCTTTGAGCTCTTTCTGTGCTTCTTTCGACAGCATCAGTTCAACTCATTGTATATGCTCAGCATTTTCTCCTGCATGTCTGAAATATAATACAACTAGTCTTAGTCGACCAACCTGTTGTGTCCAATAGTTCTAACTCATTTCAGGCACCGCCAAGTTGTATCATTTCATTTCTGCAACAACTTAGATGACTCCCTTGGTCTCACACAGTCAGTTGCAACGTAAGAACTTCATACGTATGTACATAAGTTCATGTTGCCATACCACATTAGCACAGAGACGCAAATGTCAAATCAAATCTCACAGTGATAAAGATAGTAGCGGTATTAATGGTAATGAAGAAGACTAGGGTTCGAAGATATAATTCAAGAAGTATAATTCAGTGAGATAAGGTTATAAAGACAAAGGCAGATGTGCTGACGAATCCAGAAGATTAGGATTTGAGAGAGCACAACCAATGAATGCACCGGCGACATCGCAAACTAATTTGAGCCATGTCTTTCAAGGTCTCTAACCATTGGTGACTTTCATCTCGCGGACCCCAACCAGGTAGCAGCCTACATCTACCAACATGACTCAGTCCACTTGTCAGTGACTACTTCATGAATTTCTGCCATGTTTTGGTCTGGCCGCCAAGGTCTCACACATTATAAGATCGTTTCATTCAAAAAGACATTGTGTTGTGTTTCCTTTGTAGAATAAATAGAAAATAAACTTGATATCGATTTCTCATCATGTTCATTCTCACATTTTTTTTATTTATGAATGACACAGATAGAATAATATATTTTAATCACATGATACATTTCATTTATTGAGGTGAGTGAATTTTTGGATAACTTGTGAAATTTTTGGAAACAGTTATTATTACTACCAAAAAAAAGATGAAATAACTTGTCTTTTAATTCAAGAATCTTTATTAGTAAGAATTCATGAAGAGTCGAATAGAACATCATAAATTGAAGTGGAAATATACTGAAAATATCGATTGGTGAACTTCAATGCACTAACCACATGATATTTCCTTATTTAGCCTTCATAAATACAAACACACATGCCTTACATCAATTTAATAACCCTTTCTTAACAGTCTGTTAGCTTTTTGATAAATTAAGATGGTTATTGGCTACACTTTTAGTGTACTACCACCGCCTAGGTTGTTTAAAATATTGAAAGAACTCTTACATTATTACACTGATAAGTTAAAGTTCACGACGAATATTCAGATTTAACTAAACTATCTTTTGCATATTGAGCAAACAATGTTCTCTGTTGTTCGATTTACAGTCTGAAATAGTTTGATTCATTCCACTAGACACAGTTTATATCACTGCACATTCAATTAACTAGATTTCTGCAGTAACGTTGTTCGATACTCTCTCAATGGTCTATGGGCTTGAATTCATGTGTAGGACTGAAAGATTTATGGTTCTATTGACGGATACTGCGTTGATGGTTCAGCCGAAATTCAGTTTACTATCTGAAACTATGAAAACAGTTAGATTTGCGATATTGATTTTTGATATTCCTATGTGGTATGTGCTACTTATACGAACGATATAAGTAGTATAAGAATGGACATGAAAGAAGAAGAAGTCTCACGGACAGAAGAGGAAAGCGGAAAGCAAATGGAGCAAAAGCAAGAAGTAAATGGAGTACCAACAGGAAGGAAAGGAAGCAACAGCAGGAATGGAAGAAGGATGGAGCGTTCGAAGTCACGACTCAAGAAGATGGTGTGCAAATAGATTATTCAATGTAATGTTTTCGTTTTTAATTAACTCAGAGTGTAAATTTGCATAATACAATCTTCCTCGACTGCCTCAGTCTTCTCACCTATAGCTCTGTGTAGCTAGAAGATTCAGCATTTTTTTCGGTCGATTCATACTCTACGCCTAATAGAGTGTCATTTGTTATTTCAGCTTATTTTTCCAATAGTAATGATTCATTTCAGTGAATTTGAAATCGCTCGTCTAAGCAACTAACCGAAAGCTTGGAAACTGGTTACAATGACGATTCACAAGTGATTTCATTTGCCTAGACTGAAATGTTGATCAAGATTTATGCAACTGAAGACTGTTCTTTTGGTTGATTGGAATATCACGAATGACTGATCGTTGACTTGTGGCAAATGACTGGTAATTTTTATTCATAACGAAAGCAAAAATCAAGTTTTTATCTAAAATAGTTCAGTTTAATGCTCTGACATTCATTCTAGCGACTTATTAGACAGAATTAAAATCCATACAGCTGACTAGAAAAACTTAACATTGAGGTTACCACTGTATAATCAACTAGCCTTACCTCCTTGTGAAACAAGTATTTACACTAATTTGTTTAAAATATTAGAAAAATTTGTAGCAGCAGCCTCTACAGCAGCAGTAGGTACTCAACATACATAAAGGAAAAAGCAAAATTCTCCGATGCAACACAACATGCACCAAACCAAATCACTCTTGATGGAGATGCCTTGGAGGACGTAAGCACCTTTACATATCTTGGCAGCATCATGATCGACAATCAAGGTGGATCCGATGCAGATGTTGGGGCTCGGATTAGCAAAGCAAGGGCTGCATTTCTACAGTTGAAAAATATCTGCAACTCCAAACAATTGTCAACCGAAATCAAAATCAGGATTTTCAATACAAATGTCAAGACAGTTCTACTGTATGGATCGGAAACTTGGAGAACTACCAAAGCCATCATCCAGAAGATACCATTATTTGGGAACAGTTGTCTTTGCAAAATACTTCGGATTCGTTGGCCAGACACTATCAGCAACATTGTACTGTGGGAAAGAACAAACCAGATTCCAGTGGAGAAGGAAATCAGAAAGAAGCGGTGGACACACACTACGAAAAGCACCTAACTGCGTCACGAGACAAGCCCTCACGTGGAACCCTCAGGGTAGAAGGAAAAGAGGAAGGCCAAGGAAAACATGACGCCGAGAAATAGAGAAAGATATGAGAGGAATGAACAAACATTGGACAGAACTGGAAAGCGAAGCCCAGGACAGAGTTGGTTGGAGAAAACTGGTGAGCGGCCTATGCTCCATTTGGAGGTAACAGGCGTAAGTAAGTAAGTAAGTAAGTATTAGAAAACTTCATCGCACACAATGTATCACTCACTCTACTCACCTCTTCAGCATTCAATAAACAAAATGTATTTTCATCAATGATAACATTAGTCATTTTGCCATTCAATTGAACTGGATCAATAAATTGTTGATGATTATTCGGTGGATGAATTTGAAATTTTGACTGTTTTACACTCTGATATTGTTTAATTGGTGATGGAGCATTATGATTATGATTATGATTTCCTAATCGAGGTATATCTAATCTTGTGTAAAATGATTTTTGATCAACTAACTTATCATGACTATGATGATTACGATCATTACTTATGCTGACAGTATTCTTATTATAGTTTGTATAATTAATATTCTCATTATTATTATTACTAGTATTATTGATGTCATATTTCAATGCAAATGGCGGCATTTGTGAATGTTTTGTACGCAGTGTACTATTACATGTTTGATAGAAGAAGGCATCGTTAGTTCGTTTGACAGTATATTGTTTCGGATGTAATGATGTCAATGCACTACCAGAACTATTTGATCGGTGTAAAGATTTTTTGCGTATAGTGGACAATGGATTGCCATAAGCACTATTGTTATTGGACATTGAATGTATGACATTCTCATTGTGCGCGTATTTCAAAGGATCATTATTACTGTTATTATTATGAATATTATTGCTTGTAGCGTAATACATTTGAATAGGATATTGGGATTTTGACCAATGTTGTTCATTTATTATTTTTGAATTGTTTTGTGAATTAGATAGTTGAAAATCTGTTGAAGATTTTTTCATTGTGTTTGGTACATTTATGAATGATTGTTTAGAGTGTGGTGATCCAGTTGACGGACGAGTATCATATGGTATATGATTTAATTGATTTGACAAAGTTGAAAATGTTTGATTGTTTATCTAAAACATTTTGTTAGATAATAATGATAATATGATGTATTTACAGATTAGTAACATTTTAGTTAAACAAACTGTACAACTGTCTGAAAACATGGATCAAAATTTCGTTGGAGATAAAGGCACAATTGATTTAGTAAATGACTAATCTTTGTAATGTTAACTAACTGGTTTCAAACAGTGATTATGTTTTGATAGCAAAATGGTATATCACATCACTTACCATGATTTGTTAAGCGATAATGAGACCATGTAAAACTGTGCTTCATAACAAGTTTCCACAGAGTGACAAAAAGTACGTCGAAATAAAGTATCATGAAGAGACCATTGTAGCCATTAGAATCGGTGAAGTTATGTGTATGTATTGATTGTGAATATATCTATCATCCGATAGAACTACTTAGTTACACATTTAAAATGATTAGTCAATCAATCAATCATTGTTAAACCACACCATTAGATATCTGGAAGCACTGAAAGACGGCTGTTTCGTTCTGGTATTGTACTGATCAGTAGTGCTTATCCACAAATCCTAAACCTTACAGAATTCGAGCCCGGGACCTTTCGTCTTGCACGTAAACAGCGGCATCCAGCGGTGTTACTGTCTAACTCTGATCGAACTTAGTTAACTGTGGTTTTATTTTTATTTCATTGTGACGGTAGTTTACACTACGCCTAGTCTCTGGAGTTAGTATACAATGTCTACTCATCACCTGTAATCATTATCCCCTGAGTTTGCTGGTTTCATTGCTTCCCACAATCACATTAAAGTGTATCGACAGATAAGGTGGTTTATAGTGGCTTTTCAGCAAGAATCATAGGAAACAATTTTAGGTTAATGTATGCGATTAGTGTAGTGTTAAAAGGTTAGGCTGTTATTGATGTAAGGAAACTATTGCTGAGATTTGTGGAAATTTGGTAGTCATAGAAAGGGATGTAAACTGTATTTATATTGATTAATAGTGTGAAACATATTATTAGTGTACATCTACTAACGATGCTAAAAAGATATTGCGTTTTTCGAACTAAGGACAGTGTTACATAAAACTCTACAAATCGATACTTCAAAATGACTTAAAAAATATGTTTCACAAGGAATTGAGTTTATATGGATGGTTTTACTAAGTTGGAGCGTTACATCACTTATTGATCTCAGCGTATGTGTCACGGAAACCCGAGGAGCACTGAGAAGTACAAGGATTCTGATAGGAGATTCCTCGGCAATTTACATGCATTAATACTATTAGAATCAAACAGTTTCGAGAAGGAAGCTGAATTACAGGAATCATTTTCATGTTGTCCAACAGTACACAAAGTTGTCGTTGTGTACTGCTGCGGATTTATACACTCGATCTCAAACTAACGGTCATCAGTGTTGAGTACTGTTACGCCTGCACGTAAACACGTAAGCTTGATATGCTTGAACTATTACGAGATTACCTAGTCGGAAAAATGAGAGCGAGGATCGAAGATCCGGCGATACCACATGCTACACAAATCCGATTATACCTACCCCCATGTTGAGTAAAATAAGAAGACTTGATATGAAGTAGAACGTGTATTCTACAAGCATCCAGAAAGTACGAGGTCGGAATCCAGAAGAGAATCAGGATCCCGGACTAGGGATCCATGTCCGGGCCATAAAACGTTACAGATCATGCATATTTATACATTTTGGTCGAATAGGAAACAGCATCGAAGTCTGTGACATTGACAGTTAAGCCAACCAATAGGAAGCAACATTTTAATTGACATTGATAGTCAGGACAACCAATAAGAAACAACATTGAAGGACGTGACATTGATATCATCTAGGACGACCATAAAATTGACCATTAGGAATTAACCAATGGGAGTCGACCAATAATTAATTCTCTTAGGATATTGGATGAATATCCTAACAAGTACATTTTACAAGGTTTTTCCTATTTCATCAACCAGTCATCTATCTAATATATATGAAATATAGATTTAATTTTACTAAAGTTTGGAAAATACAATTGATTAGGGATAATTTTCACGCGGAAACAATCATTTAAATTATCAAGTTCCCAATAACACAAATTATTAGACATATAAATGCAACACTAATAACCGTTCAAGATGAAATAACTCCCTAACAAAACAAATCTTTCACATCATTTCATGTATTTAGCACTTACTTTTAACTTTTTCTTCTCATTTCCATTTCTAAATAAAGAAGGAGTATAATAGACCGAATGTTGTTTATTCTCTGAATTCATATTTTCAATTGAATTTAATTTTTGCTGTACAGAAGAAATATCATGAATGGAATTTAAATTACCAGTGGAATTGAATTCCATCACAGAATTATGATTATAACTGCTAAAACCGGATGATGTATTCGAAATGGTATCATTGCGTAATTTGTTCTTTTGGATTTTATCTGATATGGAATTTGGTGTGAATTTTTCGCCGGGACTTCGTCTCTCATTATTATTCTCTAATGTTTTATGATGTTTTCTCATACGACAATGTTTACGACGAGATGAATAATGTGATGAGCTGGTTTGTTGATCTGAGTAATGATTACGATTTAAATCTTTCATTAGATTTCTGTCATGATTGTTGGAATGAGAATAACGTACAGTTGCATAGTCATCAATTTGATTCATGTCTGATTGTGATAATATTTTGTTTGAAACTAAAGGATTAGTTGTCGTTGTATTGTGTAAAGGTGAAATGTGTTGATTTGAATTGTTTAATGAGAGTTTCGATTGATCATTGAGCGATTGATAAACATCCGGTTGATAATATTTTGCACGAACACTCTGAAATATTATTTATATATTATTTAAGAATTAAGAAATCAATGATAAAAAGTATTAGGAACGATTCAATTCAATGTAGTTATGTGATTGGTAATTGTACTACTTACACAATTATGGTTCATGAGTATAGATAGATTATGAATCCATCGTTTGATAGATAAGACTTGCTATTATGGGGTTGTGAAGATTGTTCAGTTTTATTGAAACCATGAATCGATCAATGTTAGACCACCATTAGAAAGCTGGAAGCACTGAAAGATGGCCGTTTCGTCCTGGTATGGGATTCATCAGTGGCAGTGCGCATCCACAACTCCTGCACCACACAGGATTCGAACCCAGGACCTTCGGACCACTGAGCCAGTATCTAACGGTGTTATTGTCTAATTCGACCAATTCATGGAGTTGTGCAACCTCATACACAGTCTTTGGTAGTTACTGTCTACACCCGAACAGGTTGAACTTCACTGGTCACGTCTTCCCACTAGAACTCGGAAAAGATTCCTCACAAAGCTAGTCACTAGTGAGGACAGGTAAGACTTTCGACTTTTGACCTTGTTAATAGAAATTTTCTACTCATCGGCATATATATTCATTAGAATATTTCTAACTCTTAATCTAATTTGCAATCTGAAATTAAGTCCAACTAAGTAGCATATGTTAACATCAGAAGTAGCGTAGTATCATAACTGTTTAGAATAAGGTAAGGAGTTAATCACACTGTACATACCTAGTAAGTGAGTTCATTTAACCAGGAATTTAAACAGTTCCAGAACACATTTAAAGATCTCATTCATACATGATATTCAAAGATTATCAGTATGCGGCATAGAGATAAATTCCCGAAATAATATTGCGAGGCTGTGATTATAAATAGTTTAAAGCAAGATGATTCATGTCAGAATTTGAAAGTCTAGGCTTTCATCCATAAATGAGTCATGAGATGATGTTCATGATGAGTATTAATAAAGGACAGAATAGTTGTTCACCACTCTAAAGATTTAACAGTTGTCCCGCTAAAGTTGTGTCTTGAAAAATACTGTTTTTTTTTAATTCGACAATCTCCACAAACTTTCAGTCATTACAGAACTTATTACTAATAATACTAGATAAGAATGGCAGATCAATAGATGAAGTGGTGAAACTTCATCAGCTGGAGTCATCCGGACATGTGATACGTATGCCTAACCACAGACTGCCTCGATGAACGATGTTTTGGAGTGTCGTGGTAAGCTGGAAGAAAGCTTATAGCGGCTAGACTGAAACATGGCACAAATACATTCAGTGGCTGACAACATGACTGACTCATGTTGGTAAGTGTGAACTACCTGGTTGGGGTCCTCCAGATGGCAGTAACTGATGGCTGAAGACCTTGTATCACATGGCTGAAGGTCGTTTGAAATGGCGCAGGTCCTTCCACTCTTTGTCTTCCCTCTAATTAAAATCTCCTGAATACCTCACCACCTCTCTCTTTCTCTTTTCAAATTTATTTCACTTAAAGGATAGTGAAGCTAAGAATATATATTTCAGCAGCAACTAGAAGGAATGTTGGGCAGCTAGATAAGTGAACCCTACCTCGAGGCAGCTTGGAAAGATATTCAAAAAGCTGTGGAAACAGCAGTGATATCTGCTAATAAGGTAACCATATGGTTAGGGATAATAAGTGGACTTCAGTATCACCTACTGAACTGAAAAATACTGAGAAACTCATCAAGTCCTGCTCTGAGTACAATGAAGAGCAGAGTCAGCTTAGGCAGAGCCTGATAAAGAGCCTACGCAATGATCGCGAACAGTAGTGAATAGAGAAAGCGAAAGACATGGAAAAAGCAGTAGCGATAGACAACAACAGACACCTATTCAGACTTTTAAAAGAAACCGCAATGGGGAATCTGACTGTAAGTGAGACTATCTCGGAAAAGGATGAGCTTATTATTCATTCTCAATCCAAGAGATTTGATCAGTAGGTAGAACACATCAGACACTAGTTCAACTGGCCTTCAGCCACGATCTTCAGTCAACGTGAATGGCATATCGATGTAGGTCCTCCTACTGTTTGTGAAGGCGAAAAAGCTATAAAATATCTGAAGGGAGGGAAAGCAGCAGACCGTGACAGGCTCACTCCTTGGATTTTTAAGGATTGTGGTCAAGTTTTAGAAGTTAACATGACTGAGATCTTAAAGAGAATTTGGGAACTGAACATAATCCCATCCAGCTGGTCTCAGTCACTGATGTTACCAATCCATAAAAAAGTACAAACGTCCTCTTTTGGCAATCACAGTGGAATCAGTCCAGTATAGTTTCGAAAATGTTAGCCTCGATAATACGTAGACACCTAACTACAGCTCACAAAGAGAGCACTCGTCGGGGTCCACGAGGCGATAGTTACCGATGGTTAGAGACGTTGAACGACATGACATAAAATTATTGTCAATTCACTCATAAATTTTATTCTCCTACATAACTGAAGCCATGATATTTCTAGTAATTTCTTCTCAAATTTAATTCTCAAGGCATCTGTTTTTTTCAAGACTTCTGACTTCACTTGAATAGTTTTCTGACATCATGATCATGTCAAATGTGGCAACCTTCACAGAAAGACAGCCGTACACGGTGGTAGGTTTTCTATGACTGCTTTATTAAATAATTAATTAGGAGTAAAAGCATACTGTTAATCGATTATCAAGTTTTTCTATTTGGCTAAATGTTTCAACAGCGCAGTACACCATTTTTCCAGAGTGAATTTTCATAGCCAAATATCCACGTACGAAGATCCTGTAACCTCCAGTAAAGGACAGCTGCTTTTTGAATAAATTACTCACGGAATTGGAAAACAGATGGAAAATGTACTATTCGTATTTTTCAAATCTGTAGTACCTCCACATATATTCCAGTTCGCTTACATTCAATTTGGTTAAGCCC